TGCAAGCTCCGCCTCCCGGGTTCACGCCATTCTCCTGCCTCAGCCTCCTGAGTAGCTGGGACTACAGGCCACCGCCACCGCGCCCGGCTAGTTTTCTTTTGTATTTTTAGTAGAGATGAGGTTTCACCGTGGTCTGGATCTCCTGACCTTGTGATCTGCCTGCCTCGGCCTCTCAAAGTGCTGGGATTACAGGCGTGAGCCACTGCGCCCGGCCATGGCCTCACCTTCTAAAACTCCTGCTCTGAATCTTTCCTGGAAAATGGGCCCCCGAGTCCAACTGGTGCACCCCACACCCTAATCCCACTGGGACCCCCAGCAGTGGCAGGCACCACCCAGCTAGTGTTCGATCTTCTCTGGCTCAGTGGATCCCAGGGAAATCTGTGGAGCTTGAGCCCCAGGAGATGCTCCAGGAAACCCAAGCTCTGGGTCACCAGCTCCAAGCACGCACCCCACACCCACCCCACCTGGAGTCTTGTGCAGGGCATGAGCACAGGGAAGGCTCTGGGAAGTCCTGAGACACGGAAGCCTGCTTGACAGGGCGAAGTCCCATCTGCCTGTGAGGCCACACATCCCAGGCCAAGTCTGGGGACCTGGGGAAGGCGCCCCGGCCCTGGTGCGGCCCTGCAGCTGCCCTCCAGCTGGGGACACGGGGCTGAGGCTCGAGCCTGGCCGACTGGCCTGGTCTGTGTGGGATCTGCCTCTGGAGCAGCTGTTTACCAGACTGAACAGACTGAACTCTGCCCCAGGAAGACTTGACCAAAGCTGAGAGGGACTGGGTGGGAACGAACTGGGGCGGGGGTAGGGGAGTGGCAGGGCAAGGGGCAGGGCCTTGGGGGGCACTGGCTAAACCTCCGCAGCTGTCCCCCTTTAACTGGCTGCTGTTAAATGTTTTACGAGGCCTCGTTTTGGTAAACAGAAGTCTGTAAATTCCTCCTTCCCAGACTCCGTTTCCCAGGCACGGAGCCCCGTCCCCCAGTCCATCCACTCTCAGGGGGGAGCAGCACTCAGCTGGCCGAGCAGTGGGCTCCTTCCCGCCGGTCCCCTCTGCGGGCAGCTGAGGGTGGGCAGCTATGCTTGTCCCTCAGCTGCTGGGCCTTGACTGGTGGCCCCTGGGCTGGGGAGCAGGGCAGCATTAGTCAGGGCCCTAAGACCAAAGGCCTGGCCGGTGCCCCCATCCTTGCCTGCTCAGTCCCCACCTCTGAGGCCCCAGGGGGTAAGTTAGGGAGCGGGGAGGAGGAGGGAATGGGGAGATGGGATGCAGGGGCAGGGAGCAGAGAGGGAGGGGCTGGGGTGCCGGAGAGGCCCAGCCGGCAGGGTGGGGTCCTCTTTGGGCAGGGGGCAGAGAGAGGAAGGGAAGAGGTCCTCCTGGCCCAGCGACAGAAAGCCCCTTTCTTTTTCCCAACAAGACTGTACTCTCAAAACTGAAAAAGAAAATAAAAAAATGATTTTCATGAATCAGAGCAGCTGTTTTGAGACCAGAAGCCAGAAGGCAGGGCTGCTGTGGCTGGGCCGGGGACACACCGGCGTCCTGGAAGGGGCTGCCACTGAGGAGTGGGGGTGGTGGTCCTGGGGAGGGCTCCAGGGGGACCGCAGAGGCCCCAGATGGCATGGAGGAGACACTCCAGGGCCAGAGACCAAGAGGGCTCAGCCAGCAGGGCCTCAGGGCACATGAGACCAGAGCCAGAGGTCCTCAACTGCAAGTTCCTGCTAGAACGCCAGGGCCCCAGAACCTCCCCTTCCCACACCCCTTTGAGACGGGAGCTTTCATGATCACCCCAGCAGACAAGGGCAAGCCCTGGGCTAAACGAACCTCCCAGAGAGGCGGGCAGGACTCAGGCTGCTGGTGCCCTCAGAGCCTGGCAGAGTGTGGGGAAGAACCCTGCGCGCAGTGGGGGTTACACCGAGGTCCCCACATCCTGCCCCTGCTACTGTGGCGGGCAAGAGCCTCCAAACTCAGTCCCGTGATGGGATGGACTGCAGGAGACAGAGGCTCAAGGTCACAAGTACCTGATGGGTGAGTAAAGCCAGGAGGCCACACATGGGCTTGGCAGGGGGCACAATGGCCACATCCCCAAACCCCTCCCAACCTCCCCCAGGCCTGAGCTCACCATGTCTGGGGAGGTCAAGGGTTGCAGGTAGGGGGCCTGTGGTGTGGGCAGGAGAGACAGTGGGCAGTCGGGGGGGGTCAAGGCTGCCCCTGGGCAGGGCTGAAGGACGGAAGAATGGGAGGGCACAGTGCCAAGAAATGGGGGCTGGGGGCAGCCAGGGGTGAGGGGACCCTTCCTCTCCTCCTGCCCACCTGGAGAAGGGAAGCCTGGAGGCTTCTCACCCCTGGGGAGGGAGAAGCAGCCCCCACCCATGGCACACAGGGCCTGGCCCAGTGTCTCTGCTCACACCAGCCCTGGCTGCCTGCCGGGCACCCCCACTCTAGGCACCTCATTTCCCTCATCCCTCCTGCATTCTGACACAGTTTCCCAGCAGCCCAGCGCGTCGAGGCCCTGCCCTCTCCAGGCCAGCCCTGCGCCTTCCTCCTCTTGCTAGACTGGAGAGGTGGCCACACCCCACCCCCCAGGGAACATTCCTGTGGTGGAAGACCGGGGGGCTGCTCCTGGGTCTCTCAGGATGCTGGACGTGGGGTGTCTTCATGGCCAGGTCTAGGAGGGAGGACGCCAGCCAGCAGAAAGACTGAGATCACCCGGGGAGGGTCAGGGGACTTCCCACTGCAGGGTCATCCAGGGAGCCCCACTTGGGGCCTTGGAGCTCAGGGCCCGGATGCTGCAGGCTTAGCAAACTTCTGGGGGTGCCGAAGCGTACCTCAAGCACCCTGCCCCAGCCCCCACGCCTTTGAGGACAAAACCTTCTGCAGCGGACACCCCACCATCCTGACAAACAGCAGTGCCTCCTCCCTGGGGGAAGGACTGGGCACCTGCGTCAGCCACGCTGGCCTCCCACAGCTGAGCCTCGACCTGTCTCCCACGGTGGTACCACTTCGGCTCCTACACGCACCTGGACCGGCGGGCAGCGGGTCACGCAGCCAACTGGACGTGGCCCCAGGCCTGAAATCTGCACATGGGCAGCCAGCCTGGGAGGCCCTGGGGGAATGTGGGAGGCTCTGGGGACTGTATCAAATGCCCACCGTCCAGTAAGGGCCCATCCTCCGGGCTCAGAAGCAGACAACCCTCCATCTCCTGCCAAGTCTGCCAAATCCCCTGTTACTCCTCCCACAGTAACCCCAGGGGAGTCCCGGGAGACCCCTGGCCTGGCAAGTGGTCCCTGCTCTTCTTGTGACCCCATACATCCCCCGTCACGTAGGATATCCCTGCCTCCCTGCCATGCAGCCACATGCATGAGGCTCAGCCTGGCCTCCACCAGCCCGCAACTCGGCACTGGCTTTTCAGGGGACACCCCCTTCACTCAGGTGTCAGTGACTTTCAGGTGCAGTGCACGGGTCTATCTGATGACTGCCAGTCCCCAAGTGCTGGGCTGACACAGATTCTGAAACCCTGTCCGCATGCGGCACACAAAGCGCTGTAGTCGACTGATGACGTCTGCCCTGGGCACACGGGGGCCTCGGTGGGCTGATGACGCCTGCCCTGGGCACAGGAGGGGCCTTAGTGATGACTGCAGCTGCAGGCAG